CACTGGATCTTTTTTTGTGATCGCGTTATTTTCATAGACTGCTCCTTGTTATTGTTGCTTCAATAAATATCTTATCAAAATATTGTATTTTCCATTTGAGACGGTAGCGATTGAGATTTGATTTGTTTCTGTTATCATTTTGTACTATGTTCATCCGAAATTATATTCATTTGACTTACGAACTTATAGTACATTCGAGGCGAAAGTAATTTAAATGGATAGATCAGTAATTTTTGGTGACAAAAGTTTTTCAGTAGATTTGTTTGTTTCATACACTTATTTTAGTTTTAGTATGAAGTGAAGACTTATTGTGGTTAAATAGATAGAATTATTAATAATTTGTTTTGTTTCTTTCGCTACCTGCATTTATATCTACAAACAACTAATCATCAGTTGTATCAGCGCAGAACATTATCAATATGATTAAAAGTTAACCTGTCTTAAATATAATTATGAATATATATATACATTAGGTTGTAAATAAGCGTTTTTTGTAAGTGCACTAAAACTGACCCTCAATCTAATATCAAAGTTTCGAGTTCATTGACTGTGAGTTTTGTCAATTTATACCAATTATTGAAGTGTAAACGGATATATTGTTCAAATTAGAAATGGGTTTTTCTTCCGATATGCTAATGATCAGTTTTGTAGAACATATTCTCTATTTATAAACCGCTTAAAACTATTGTTAAGCCTAGAAGTCCGTTAGAGTAAATTAAACTGTTGAAGAATCTGTTAGTTTTTTGTTAAGTGCATAATTAATGAGCAGTGTTATATGATTCTTTGAACTCGGAGTTATTGATCTACATTGTTTGAGATAGCTCATTCATATGTTGTGTGTTGTGATTTATTGTATGTTTTTTGATTTTATCCGTAAGGGATAGTGTTGAATTTTTCGCTTGAATCCACAAAATGACGGGTATTGTTAGTTCGTAACTTTAGGTGACTTTAGGTAATATAGCTATGAATTGGTAGCAGTGACGAATATGAAAGAGTGGCAGTTGATAAACACCAGGCACCTGTCTAGTTCTATTTGATTTTAACCGAAACTAGCTGGTCTTAGTCTGTAGTTGAGACTAACCTCAGTTTGAAAAAAGCTTTCTGCCTTAGTAACGATTCTTGATACTTTTTATTCCTAATACTCGTTTAGTACCATTTCTGTTACTTTATAATGTGAGTTAATTTAATTAAACCACTTCCAATGGAAACCAACGGAATACCAACACTGAAATCCGATGCATATCTGACGGTTGTCTTATACCACCTATGAGGCATTGCAGTCAATCTATGTGAAGAATCTACTTAACTATCTTACCTCATATTGTTGACTTAATAAGAATCATTTTTTATCTCATTCTACGTGTTCTAGTTCGTTTCTTACTTAGAATAACACTGATTTGATCAGTTAAAAAATTAAATAGTACTTTGGGAAACCATGATGCCATGGAATTACTTTCTAGTTGTGATTTTTCTAGGTTGAAAAATCAAGAAAGAATTGTAGGAGGAATTAATTTCTTACAGTAATATTATACATAGGAGAGAATGAGAGTGTCGATCCTCACAACTTAGGGCTTAACACCAGACGCAATTATGGAGATAATTTTAAATTCTTTACAAAACAAGTTCTTTGTAAAGCAGACAATAATGAATCCTAGTGTATTAGAAAGAAGACCGGGAGTTTTAAATAAAAGAACAACGTGATTGGTAAGAGTAAAAACAACTTTTTAAAAAGTTATGTTTTTGTGGATAAACATTTCGTAAATCGCATGCATATTATATAGTTTCATGAAATAGAAACCTCGAAAGTGGTGGCTTTATGATTGCTAATTTCTCTCAGCTATTTCGACTCATGGTAGTATTTAAATATTTAATCTAGCAACCACAAATAAGCTGGTAGGAAAAACATTCGTCTTATCACTATACGCCATTCATTTGTAATGTGCATAGTGTGATACTCGTAAATCATTTATGATTGACGATTTCAAATGCATCTCTATGGCCTACTCCATCATGCTATTTTTGATTATTTAAGTTCATTGAAACCCATTCTTACTAATGAGTTAGGATTCGATTTTATTTTTACATTGTACTTGTTACCTAGAAGTAAACTAGTAGTCTAAATTTTATAAATTGATATAACAAGTTTATTGACTCATCTTTGAACCATGTTTTTTTGTTGAGATCCGGTCATGTACTGTCTGTCAGTGGCAATATCAAAGTAAATGGTATGTGATGATTGAAAGTCGACTAGTTTAACCACCACATCATTCTGCTAGTAGTTTGAATTGGAAGATGTGTATAAATGAACAATATATTTAAATTATAGGTACTTAGTATACGTGAAATCGGTTAAATGACTATAAATATATTAACCATTGTATATACTATCCAGATCAGTTGTACTATCACACCCTTTTGAATCAGCATGTAAATGCGGAAATTCTTTAATGAAATTCACTTGATCCGTAAAACGACATCTGACTGTAATCTTTAATAGCCATAATGAAAATTTACTTGCTGACACCTGTTACCACTCGTGGAAGAGCATAGGCCACCGACCAGCCTTCTCCGTGCAACTGTCCTAAGAAATCCTTTCCAGTTGCTATTCATTTATTTCATGTCCGCTTCCAGTTCTCGGTGCAATGTGTTCTTTGGTCTTCCTCTTCTTTGTCGTTATTTACGGCTCGTTTGACAAAATTAGTTATTCGTTTTCTTAACAGTTGGATAATGGCTGATAATAGAATCTAGGAATCGTGTTTTCCTCTGTCCATGAATCGTTAAGTTTATTTACTTGCATCCCAGTACTGATTTTCATGTTGAAGTTCGAATCTAGTACTTTCGGTTTAAGCACCTAAGGTGTTGTCCACTGAGTTACTGAGCCCATATAGTTACTAGCTTATACAAAGGGTGCAAATTTTATTTATAAGAGCTTGTTTTTCTTTATTGTTGAAACGGAAAATACAAACTCTTACAAATTGGTGGTTATTCATTGCTTTAACTTATTTCTAATAGTAGTTGTAACATTCTTATGGTCTAATAACTAAAATTAAACACCAGCTACAAAGAAAAGAAGTAATCGGACAGTTTAGTCAAAGTAATTCTTAATGTAAATAATAAAAAAAACAAAATCCTTCTTTAAACGTGATTGCAGTAGCCTAATAAAGTTTATATTTGGAGATAAAACCAATGTCTATTGTTTGTTATCATTGTACCTTGGTTCCAACATTGTTTATGTACACATACACATATAATCTGTGTTTTTAGGTTTTCGCCATTATTATTATTATTATGTGTATTTTTAAATACCACATCTGTTCAAACATTCGGTTTTCTATTTTATTATGAAAAGCTTTCCATTCATTTGTATTTGCTTCAATTTAAATTGCATCATATGATAACTTTCCGTTGGAAAAGAAATTAAAAATAATCATTAGTTGAAAAATGTACTGTCAAAGTTTTTCTCTAATTTACAACTATCTTTTAAACAATTGAATTTATTTATATGATGAATATTTGTACTATTTTGTAACATAACATATCTCTTGTCCACTTTGTAAACAAGTAATTGTTGGATTGCCCCCAAATGCTTCAGTATGGCCGAGAGTGTGGTGGGCCCGCCCTCCCTCTCGAAATGCTCTCACACGGCCACGCATATGCAGCCCCTGTCAGGGAAGTCCTACTCACTACCTTCTCGTGGCGGGGGTGTTGTTTACGAAGTTGAGAGGACGAAAAGCGAGTGTCCGGCGCTTTAACCGGATTCCAAACCAATGGTGCACATGGGCTCCAGTATCCTGTGGAAACAAATGGCGTATGAACTAATCGTTGGTCACCGGCTACCATGGGACTGCATCTCTTCACGATGCTCCATTGCCTTGTGAGTCAGACCTTTAGGTTCAAGGCTCGGGCGTGGCCCCCTAAGATAACCACCTTTTTCCGTCTGGGCACCCGGGCAGTATTCCAGTCCTCACGCAAATCGAATGATTTATGTGGCGCATATCTATTTGGCGCCTCCTTGTACCAATGTTTATGTGTTTAAATAAATAAGTAAATAATTATTATTGGATAATTAAATTTGTTGATATTAATTTTTTGACTTGTTATAATCTGATCCCTTTCATTTTCATTCCTAACTATTCATCATTTGAGAATTTTTACTGTTTTTACTCAACAGGCAGTTTAAAAGGGTATATTGTATATGTAAGTTAGCAGTTTTAAAATATATATAATGACTTCTTTTTACTTAGCGCCCAATTTCTGTCAAACTATTCGTTCTAATCTTGACAAATATTCGTATAAAATATATAGCCATAGTTGACATTTTGATATTTATCATCAGAACAAAAATGTACTACTTTCTATTACACTAAAAAAATATGTGATTGTTTTTATTTGATAGTCATATTTCTTATTTAATCAACTCTGTTTATTTTTTCTATATATTTGTGACTGGTGTTAGATTTTTGAGTTTGATTTATTCCCTGTTAGTTATGAGCAGTTAAATAGTACTTAGAATTTAAGAAATTTGGTCTCTCACTTTAAGTTTAAGTTTTGTTCTTCAAGGGTATCTTCGGTAGTAATGAGTTTTCTGAGTTGGATGTCTTAATTACGAAGTTTTCATCAGCGTTTAATTCCAGTTTAAGTGAACATTTTTCATTACTTTATAAGTATTCAGTCAATCTATCCTGATAATTTTTGTTTCCGACTGTTTTGTCTTTACTAGTTTTCCATCATTTTTAGCACGTCTTAATGGTGGATTCTTCCATAAGTTTATCACGTTAGTGTTTAATTGAATTATGTACATGAATTGGTCATTGTATGAACCATCAATCTCTAGTTGACTCAAATATTTGAAGTTTGTACTGAATTAAACCATTTTTTCTTCTAAGTTCCTTTAAACACTTAAATACGAGCTATGTTCGGCTGTTATTTAATGTTATTGCACTCGGCTTTCAATAAAAAGATCTCAGGTTCGTATCCCGTTCCCCCTAGTTCTGTTTAAGCAGCTGGTTAATTTCATTAGTCCTTATACCGTAAATGTAAATCAGAGCCCAATACATAAATCTGTAATTAATTAATTCGTTAGATGTAACATTCATTCGATCAGCATGAAAGCTGTGAATATCATGAAATTACTTTGTGTTATCTTCTCACATTCTAGGTATTTTCATATAGTAGTTGTTCCGTGCATTTTTTGAACAATATTATATAGATATAAGTTAAATTTGGCTAAATAACTTGATATATTTTCAGCTTATTTTCACTGTACCCTTTTAGTAATGGCCAAAAGTATTTACGAATATGTTCGAAATTTCGAAATTATGGATCCCTGTCTTCCTTCCACATGGATTGTTGTTCGTTTAGATGGACAAGGTTTTCATAAATTTACAGCAAAGCATAATTTTATCAAACCAAATGATACACGTGGTTTATCGTTGTCAGTACGTGCAGCAGAACGCGTTATGCAACAACAGAAAGAAATTGTTCTAGCTTATGGTCAATCAGATGAGTTTAGTTTCGTATTTAAAAAATGTACTGAAGTGTTTAATCGACGAGCAAGGTAAGATAATTGTTGTCTTGTTAATTGGTTCTACAAATTTCTATATTTATGTTTGCTTTTGATTTGTGTGACTAGCCTGTGATAGTTTATTAATTAACTTTACATATATGAATGTGGTCAAATCTATTTCCCAATTAGTTGACCATTAGTATTCGAAAGTATGGCATACTATCCAGTGTAATTTTCAAAGATACTCTAGAATATGTGCTTGCGCTCAATTATGCTGATGAACTATTGGTGATAGCTGGAACGGTAATGTATTTATCAACCAGTGTTGAGGATTAATTCAACACCCATACAGCTAAGTACAGAATGAAATTCCAAACTGTATAGATTTTGGTTCTGTCAGAATGTCTGTTTAACTGTAAAACATTGTCCATACATAACTTCGCTTTTTGAAGTATCTTATTGAGAATATTTAAATATAACTTTATACAGCACTTGTTTTATCCAATAGAAATACTGAAGTTTGGCGATGTGTTTTGAGTATAGTGAACAATGTTATTCTATTGTTTACTTCATTTATCTTTCAACAGATTTTTCTCTTTTACAAACTACCTACTTACAAAGTCTGTTTTCTAATTGGCTAAGAACTGGCTGAAAATTTGTCACGGTTGCTTTTTTGTTCATTCCCATAGACTATACTCTTACTAAAATATGTCCAAATTAAAATTAAGAATCAACAAGGGTTTAAGAAAAGAGTCACATCATATATACTGTTTATAACATCAAAATTAAAGTCAATATAACTAGGGTAGATTTTATGATTGGCTTTATCGTATAGATTAACTGTTTTGTATTTCATTTTATATCTTCTCACTGTATCCCATTTTATATAATGTTAATAGATGAATCTGTAGGATTTATTTTATCTACAGATATTTTATTTGAGCATTTTCCGCGATATATAGTATTTGAGATGATGGGGATTTTGAATGGGTATAACTGCAAACACATTTTATTAATACAATACACCCAACTCAAACAGAGATCAGTGGAAGATCAATACCATTATTATTATTATTATTATTATTATTATTATTATTATTATTATTATTATATACTTCTCACATATGTGGAGCGGTTTTTCAGAGGTTAAGGTGCTCGACTTTTAACCACTACGTCTCAGGTTCGAAACCTTCTTTTACTTCAGTCTGGGGAACCAGATAGTATCACTAGCCCTCATACCTAAACTTTCATTCAAAGTCAAGTACACGAATCTGTATCTGGTAATGAGGTTCTACTGTCTGAACAAGAACATAAAGAACATACAAATGTTTAATTAATTTAAGTATAATCCGACTCACGAAAGTCTATTAGCCCACTATACATTACTGTCGAACCAAAATCTATGCAAAACTTTATTTAAACTAAGTTTAAACCTGTCATATAATATTTTATCAGTTTCGCGAACGAACTATATATATATATATATATATATATATATATATATATATATATATATATATATATATGTATAAATGAAACACGCGTCCTGACCACTATCCATCTCTGCTTATAATTACCGTAAAAGTATTTACTAAAGTTATACTTAGAAACAAGTGACCTTTTTTTGTTTACACATAAAAGGTGATGTAAAAGTATAGTTACTCAATCAATATGTTTCCACCATCGTATGTTATTCAAGGACAAAGTAGTTATTTTTTGTTTCACTAATGCTCATATACAATGAATACCATCGACATTTTCATGTGAATTCAATCTTGTGTCGTAAATGCTTAGATTATTCATGTTATTAATTTAATCAGTTGATACATTTTGTCATCATGTATATTTCTTGTTTTTTGTTCAAGTCATAAATTCACATAAGTATTTTGAGAACTTCTCCTCTAAATGACAACTTTTCATTATGGTGAGGTTTTTTGGTGTAATATAATTAGCTAAATGTTAATGAAGTTTACCGGGAAGTACAATTTGACTAAATCTTCCCTTATAAGTACTAAAAAATTCTAATTTTAATGACTGAAAGTAACTTTCTTGTCACATTGTTTGAGAGTTATGAACTTGATGCCCACTGTAGAGGAGTCCTATACTGCTGTAAATTTATTTCTTCGCAAAAAAGCAGCATTATCGTAAAGTGAAGATGTGTGTATTGATTAAGAAGTCATACACCCATTCATATACATTCGTCTATAAGAAAACTAATGAGGTTGATAATTACCGTTGTGTAGCCAAATTCATTTATCCACCAAATAATTAGAAAACTAATAATCTGATATTATTACCTACATTTTAAGACGACTCATTTCGTGTGTGTGTGTGTGCACGTTCAGTGATTATTATCTATATGAGATATTTAAGATCAGAGCTGTGAGTGATGATACTCATAGTGATCAACCTTGATTACTATATCACCAAAGTTTAAAAGTAATGAAGCATAAAAATAAAGAAAATTGCTAAAGCATGACTGATAATAGCAGTATGAATTGTCTTTTCTATTTGATAACAACCTTTTACGAATTCATTGCATGATATTGAAGATTATTATGCTTAAAATGACCTAAATGAAGCTCAGTCAGTCAAGTCAGTGATTTTTAATACAGCACGTGATTGTTCATTGTTTCAAGTTGCCACATCAGTTTAATAGGATGAAAATGATACATAGCAGCGGAATGGTAGTAATAGTTGAATGCTCTTAACAAGTATATGTGTGATCGGATTGTTCGAAATGTATTGCGCTAATATATCACATAGTTCTGATAATCTTAGTCTTCTAATTACATTACCGAAAGTAATAGAAGCGTTTTTGATTACCGTGTAGAGAATATTTGTAGAAAAGATCGTTTGAAATGGAGGAATATATGTATAAAATGTTATTGAAACTTGAAACCTTTGTCACTGCGATCGCTTCCTATCAATCTCACTCGAAATCCCTAGCTAAAATGTCTTCGCTTCGTGACATGACTGATAACAGTGGGCAATGACTTCATGAACTGGTCCCACCCCGTGGAAAATTTGAGGAGCTATAAAGAATTCTACTTGGTTTAACCGACCCAATATAAGCTTTGAATTTATCCATGACACCTGAATGAAGAGTCTTCCTTAGTCTATGTACTTTTTTGCTATCCTTTTCAATGATAGATAATACGATAAGGCCTCACATCCGAATACTGACTCCAGGTCATTGGATATGGCTAAAGTCGAACGTATACCTACGGCTAATTAAAAGCCAGTTGCACCATTTCCTAAACTGTCCTACTCATCATGTTGTCTGAATAAATCATAATTTTCCAGTAAACCCGTCTTCAATATACTGATAATTCTAACCTTTAAGTAAAGTTTTTTTTGCCAAGATGTGATATCTCTCCTCAAGTTGGGTAGTTGAAAGAATGAAAGTTATTTCTATTTATATTTCCCAGCTGTACATTTACATTGTTTGGAAACATTTTCTCTTAATATCAAGTTACCAAAATAGGTGATAAAGATAATTTATATGTGAGCAGTTATCTCCCTTAAAACATTCCATAAATCCGAAACTATAACCCTCCTGTTTGTGATGCAGTACAGTTATCAATGTTTTACATGCTGAAATATTATCCGTAAACAAGTAATTTGTCATTATTATCTTGTAAGGAAAGATTGTATAGGGAAGGTATTTTGTGAGTACTCTTGAGGTTAGATAAAGTTTTCTTTATATAGGTATTAAATAAGTTGATTAATTCCTTAGCTTTCATCAGCTTAACTAATAAGAACGTATGTATGCATTGTGTAATATATAAGATTTCAAAAATATCACTAAATAACAAGTCGTTTACTGTTTGGCTAGTTATTTTTCCATGATCTTCCAAATGATATTATTCCTTAATGAAGACTACTGTCGAACTGAACTTATTTCCACAGACTATCTAACTTTACTATATGTGTATATCATATCGTGACTCACTTGATGGATTCCAAAAGTTTGAATAGAATATCCTAACTGATGAAGTTCAACTGCATTGGGACTGAGGCAGATATCACCAATTTCATTAAATAATGCTATCACTTTATTGTAAACTGACCGACTGACAATTTGGCCTATTAGATTCCGGCTCAGTGACTTATTCTTATCACAATTGCAGCTAATCCTTAAAGTTTTGATGTGTACTTATGAGGGGTCCTCGGTAAGGACTAAAATACTGAGCAGTGCTCTCAGGTTTTCAGTGATTCCCTAGTTAGTTTCAAACCATGAAAATAATAATTAACAGTCATTTTTAATGTATTATAAACTGTAGGATGCTTCATTGGGGTTTTTAAAAATAACTTAAACTAATGATTAAAATTGACACAGTTCATAGCCAGTCCCACTGATGCAGATGCATTGATTGTTGTTTATCTTTTCATTCAGAACTACCTATCTGCTCTATATAAGACCAAATGCCTATCATTAATTCATTTGGTAATTTTCGTTTTGTTTTTATTTTTTAAGATTCTGTATTTATTATCGTTACATCAATTCCATCTATACTTTAATTCCTTTGTTTTGTGTGCTCTTCATATAAATATATATATATTAGCAAAATATCCAGTACAGTTGTTTCGTTGTTCACATCTTCATATGTTTTTGAATGGCCAAAGTATTTTCCTGATACTCCATTACTGTATCCACCAGCGTTTGATTCCCGAGTAATACTTTATCCAACGAATAAAACTCTCAGGGATTATTTAAGTTGGCGTCAGGTTGATTGTAAGTTTACAATGTGTATTTTTTGTATTTAAGCCTTATGAAATGTAATAACTAATTTCATTCTATTTCAGAGTGATGAATTTGCGTTTATTAGTATAATCATATTTTATGTGAACTACTGTATCTCGTTTTATTTTGATTTGACCAGACATTGTAGAAGATAAAAGAGTTCTAAAGAGAACAGTGAGAGAATCTTGTTAAAATTACAAACCGACCTAAGTTAGACAATCACTAAAAACTAAGAGACCCAGGATAACTTTTACCTTATTATGGGACTCTCCATCAATAAGGATCCGTGACCCCACAACTGGGACTCGAAACCAAAACCCTTGGTCATATGTGTGAGTACTCAATCTTATGACCACTGAACCGCAATCAAATCGTGTAGATGTCTAACTCCTGTCAGTCAACGTTATTTTGTGACCACCTTCCATTGTCTTCGGGGGTACGTTCCTCACACTCCACAATATTGAACTGCGCACTAGTGAAAAGTTCTTACTAAAACTCCTTTAATTTTCTCTCGAAGGTGCTAGTAAAAAAATGACGAAATTTCACCTAGATACAAAACCCTCAAAATCTTGGATGAAATAATTATCAGCTTATTTTTTCTGTCTCTTATGATAAAGCGAAATAGAATTAATTTTTTGAGTGAATTTGTGTGTGATGCTGGAAATCACAATTAGTTTTCTTGTGTACAAATTACTGCGTATCAATGTCCAAAAATGCCTTGGTACACCCGAGGTCGGGAAGAGTCAGCTCTCCCTCCCGAACTCCTCGCACATGGCCACGCGTATACAGCCAATCCCAGGTAGGTTCTGCTCACTGCCTTCTCGCAGCAGAGGTGTTTTCACCTAATTGAGAGGACAAAATGCGAATGTCTGGCGCTTCAACTGGTTTGGTGGGTATGCAAGATTCACCTAGGGTATTTGGAAAACCCTGATTCCAAATTAATGGTGCACATGAGCTCCTGGATCCTGAGGAACAAATGGTGGATGAACCTATTGTTGATCACTAGGTACCATGGGATTGCGTTTCGTAACGTTGCTCCACTGCCTTATGGATCGGACCTCTAGGTCAAAGGCTCGGGCACTAGTTCAGTATTCCAGCCCTCACACAAATCGAATAATGAACTATGGCGCATATAAATTTGGTGCCACCTTGTATCAATGTTTATGCGTTTAAATAAAGAAATAAACAACATATCAATATCCACAAAACATCATCGGCCTAAACGAAATAGATAAAAATGCCTGTATATGATTCATATTTCGAACTGTGATTAGTTAAAATAAACTCTGGAAACTAGTAATTATAAAATAATTCTTTCTCCCCCTAATGATTTGGGACCTAGAATCACCAGACTCTCTGGTTAACATGTTACTGTTTGTTTGTCTCACGTAAATTTAATGATGTCTTTTCACAATTATAAGAAAATTCGTGATAGAAAGGTTAGCATTGTCTATATGTTACCATTTATAGTGATAAACAAATATACCGGAAACATTGGTTTCGCACTTACAGGTTTGGTACATTGTTCAAGTGCATTTTTCACACTAGAGTTCGTGTTACTTGACTGGCTAGCAAATCTATTTTTATTAATGGGGGGATGAAAAAAATCGCACTCAGCCATAAAAGTGCAAATAAACCGCGAGTTGATAATGATAAGCTTCTCTTACTGTTGTTATCATTACATACACACTGTTACAATGATTAAATATATAATCTGTATTAATTTAATTTAAATAATAGTTACAATAGAATTTGTTTTCAGATAACTAATCTAAACAGTCATTAGGCATTTAACGAACACAATTAATGGCATAAATGTTAACATAAACTATTATGATTAATATAGTCAGTCTAACTCATATATATATCATGAAGTGATCGAAGTTAGATCACCATTGAAAACCTGGAAGCATTGGATAACCGCTTCGTCTTATTATGGGACTTCTCAGTTCATCAATGCGCATCCACGACCCCGCGCGCGGGATTCGGACCCATAACCTTCAGCCTCTCACGAAAACACCTAACCTCTATACCACTTAGCCGGCACCCAATGGTGTCAATGTCTAACTCTCAACAGTCTACGGTGTAGGACGACTGTCTTCCATTGCCTCACATCGTTAGTGTAATTCAGGTTTTATCAATCATTTCGACAAATGGAAATCAGTGGTAATGACTCAATATTACGGTGAACTGTGTTTGATATCTGATGGTGGGTTGGGATCTATAGGAATTTCTAATCGACACTTGTTTGCAATCTTAATGGGAATAGAGTACTTTAAGATTTTTTAATTCAACATCAAACATAGTTTACTACAATATGAGTCACTTAGATCAGTGATGATCATATTACATCTTAAGTATCATTAAGGACTAGATTGTATGGCATTAGTTACTATTTAGTAGTCAAGTAGTGTATTTAATTCATTTCTTAGTCTGTTAAAAATGTTTTCAGCCTTTTACATGCTTCGTGATTCCTTCAATTCTGTTGTTATTACAATTGCTCCCTGTTTCTCTTCCTGTTCTTTTCAATTCGATCTTCTCAATCTTCTGCTGCCTAGCATTCCACTTCTGATTGGTGTTACATACTACTTATATCTATCAACATAAGTAGCATATACTACAATGGTACTGTTAAGATTGATATTTGTATACCTCGATCGTGGATGAAAACAATGATTATTAATTTTGTTGAAAACAGTGTCAAAATAAACCAACTCATAAAACTCATTTATCTGAACACTCAGTTTTATTATGAGCTTATAATATTTGGACCTATTAATGTGACTGAAAAAATTTGCAAATTTTTTAAGCGGATGATCAGTAACTCTCAGACGGCAAAATCATACTTAGCCAATTATATATAAGTGGTATTGAAGGAATTTGTTTGTTGTACCTGTAAGTATGTTACAATGATAAATATTTCTCTTCTGTGATATTCTCTAAAGATTAAGTACAATTTGGTAATCAGGCAAATATATTTCTGTAGTCGTTTCCTTAAGATATATTTTCAACCTGTATATCAGAAAGAAGGATTACATATACTTAACTGTTCAGCTATTATCAGGGATTGTGTTTGATTTTTTTCATTATTGTTTATGAACTTGGACAAACTCCGTCTTTCCATTGCATTATTAGAATACGTCTTTAAAAAGATAATCACCGGTAAAATTTCACTGTAAGTACTACACTGTCTTCGTTTGATATCTACTAATTATTTTTTTTCGTTATAAAGAACGTTATCTGTCACTCCTACTACATTTTGTGGATGTTTCAGCGGAACTGCTAAATGGCCAGTAGAAAGCCTAAATGTCAAGTGATTGCGGTACTTAACCGATAACGCTGGATCAAGGTTTTGTTCTAGTTGAAAGTCCTCAGCTAGGCATACTGGAAATCTTGAGAGAACTATTTCAGACGCGCACCACCCAGCTACACTGTTTCGTATGTTACCATCAAGCTTTTTTGGCATCGACTGACCTGTAGGACTGAGGTATTTACATTTGACTGATCACTGAGTGGTGTCTCACGTCATGCTTGTCTATTCATTTATTAAGTAGTTGTGAAGCTTGATTGTTCATAGAATCACACGCATATTTTCGACTTTAGATTATTTGGCAGGGATGATTTTATTATTCTTTGAAAAGATCCTCAATTTAGGGTGTTCATATTAATGCTTCGTGCATAAATTTATTCATTTACTTATTGTTCTTAATACTTCGATAATTCAGGTAGCATGTTGATACCTGTTTTCGTCTCACAATATGGCAGATATTTTCTATATTTCTCTTGTATTCAACCTTATTCAAACATGAACTATGCAATATGTGAAAATAAATAATGGTACATGTATGTAGTATTATTTAATCTAATTATGTAATATACTGTTGTCCCTCAATGTGTAGCAATTAAAACGAATGTATTTGTAGTGATGAATGGTACAATTAGGCTCAACTTTATTGATTACTTTTCCAAGAGGTTTGAGGCAATATGTTAGTTGGTCTATTGCTCAGTATTTCTGGTCAATGTACTTTGACTAGTTTGAATTTTGGTTTTGCTAATTATAAATAGGTTTTTGTCATAATTTAAGAGATATTCATTTCGAAATAATGTTTGTTTCACGAAGTATAGACTGAGTTATGGTAAGCGATTAGATTTCAAAATTAAGTTAGTAGTTATTCAAGTCTAGATTTTGAAGTCCTTTTCTTGTCAATTGACCACAATATTAAGTCGTGTAGTTACATCACATAGTTTATCGTCTTTCGCGAGTCGTGCAGAATATTTAGTGGTTGAGATCATTGGTCAGTTGAAGCTAGACCACCATGGAAAACCTGGAAGCACTGGACGGCCGTTTCGTCCTATTGTGGGACTGCTCAGCAGTGCGCATCCGCGATCTTGCACCCCGCGAGATTTGAACCCAGGACCTATCAGTCTCGCGCGCGAGCGCTTAACCATTATGCCACTGAGCTGGCATCCATCGGTGTTAATGTCTAACTTCAACTAATCCACAAAATTGAAATTAGTATGATATCCACAATACCCCTTCTGATATTAAAAGTAGTTAGTTGATTTTATTTATACTATAATAAATAAGGTCGATTTCTATCGTCTTTTGAATATATGTTTTATTGATAGCGTCAATTAATAGCAGTATTATGCACTCATAGCTTTAACATTAATTTCTAAGAATATAATGCTATGTAGTATTGAGTGTTTTTTTTCTCTAATCAATCTTACTTATAATATTACCGTTGTCGATTATAAAAAAATATACTTTAGTGTATGACAGTTTACTGCATAAATATCGCTAAATTTGTGTCAATATCTCAGATAAGGTGTGTATATCTATATGACCATACTGTTAATTATATTTGTTTTAATTTTGATACTTAATTCTTTGTATCCTTTCATTAACAAACTAGTGGATTTGCAGTAAACTTCTGGTAGTTATTGTATTAATAATATCAGTGTTCAAGGCAGCAAGTAATTACTAAATATTACATTTATAAGGAAATAAACTCCCTATAACAACTAATTTTTATTAATAGTGTTCATATTTGTGCACCATATTATAAGGTTATTTTTTTATTGAGAGTTTACAAAATAGTAAAGTATGGAAGGGGGTAAACAATAAAGAATAATGAGTCTGGATACTAACAAATCCTACAATTATTATTTTTGAAAAAGTCAGTCAATCATAGTAAGGATACAACGTGGATGGGATTTACACATATCAGTTCAAATGGAATTTAAGAGAATGAGAAACAGAGGAGATGAACGTCTACTTTACAAGCCAAATATAGCCTAGAAATAATAAACGACACCAAAAATGAAATGTTTAGAGTGACACTTAAAAACCTAGATTTAAAGAAAAATAAAATGAATTGCTCTGCTATAGTATATTTTGAGCCAGATCATCTAAAATTTCTGATGTAACACCGATTAATATATAGTAAACAGTGATTTGGACTGAAAATGGGATGAATGAGTTTCAGAGAAAAAAAACACATCAGCTGAACAAGCCAGAATATATTTGATTTAATTACCAACCGATGAGATAGGTGGAAGGATAGGAATTGCAGTAAAAATGTACCATTAATTATTTAAATGTAATGTATAAATGTGTTCAACCACTGATCAGTTATATGGCATGGAATTCATGACAGTATTTAATTTCTCTTCAGACAATAGCAATTTAGTTGATCTGGTTACATCAGTTCCCAACAAATGCCACAAGTTATAACTCTTTCAAACACTAGATCCATTCGCATATAGCATGTGAAACTGAGTGTTTTTGTTCGCTCAATAATCATGAAACATGATATCAAAATAAAAAGTCAAGAATAATCAATAAGACCAGTTACCATACAATTTTCATTCTACTTCATGTTTATAATATTACATCGAACATTTTACAAGCAAAATTAAGATTTCCTTCTATTTCATTCATAAATCAATGTTTTTGTATGAACCGAACAACTAGCTAAATAATACAAATTTGTCATTTATGTATTAAAGTCTTCATACTTATTGATAAAATATAGATAATGTGTAGTCATAGGTAATAATAAATAATTTATGGTTATATATTGTTTTTGAGTTCAGTGGTGGTTAAATTATGAAAGTTTGCTTTTGGATTCTGTTTAATACACTTTGGTTTATCGGTTGATAGATCAAGCCTGTGTCAACTTGTCTATTCAATGTGAATTGACCTGGAATTCTATAGAGATTTCATATCTTCCTCAATTATTTACGAAGATCGTTGTAAAAGATAGTATTTTTTTATCATTTAACTTCTGATCTATATTGATGGATGAGTAGTTGGTGTGTTGTAGTTTATGTTGTAAATAAAGTTAATTTCGTGACTAACAGAGGGATACATAACGCTCGTTTCGTCCCATTTATGACTCATCAGCTGAATATATCTGATTCCCAGTGTCGATGTTTATACTGAAACCTGAATTCCGGATCTTGGGATGGAAGTGCATCCAATTGACAAGTAACGAATAAGGTGATACGTTCATCTTGGATTCAATTCCTCTTCATACACCATATGCACTAAAACTGGTGAAATAATGCCAATATAAAAATAATTTTAAAGTTGGTATAGTCGGTTATCATTATTTTAAGACTGATACAGACCCAATCATTTGTGCAGTGAATAACATTTTACAAACAGTTAGCCTTAGTAATCAGGCTATTAATAGCCTAAATTCAAATTCGAACATGGCTACAGCTGGATATTCTAAATGTTCATACATTTGGAAGAGAAAAAATGTTTGCACTTAGATATATTTAGCAGATATTTTTATAACACTCAAACCCATAATTCTTTTCTTAATGATTAAGTTCATACTCTCAAATTTTGTTGTTAGAGAGAAAATTACATTCGTCTTGATGTTAACCTGATAAAATTATCTGATTTTTCGTTGTCTAATAGTGACACATCATCCTTATTTTTTCCAGATGCTTCAGGGAAGTCTCTATTGGGTACTGGTAGGACGCGACGTTTTTAGCCCTTTCCCGGTTTCTAAGGTCTTCATCAATGAATTCTTGGGTTTTTCCATATATATATATATATATATATATATATATATATATATATACCTACAATTTCAAAATATACCAATGCAGAAATGTCAGGAAGCACTTAAGTGTGGTATTTTGAAATGTTAGAACGTATAACAACGATTAGTTGGTCAAGAAAATAGAAAAATGGATTAACTGAAGCATACTTTTTCACTGATTTTGTCTTTTTACACCAAAACAGATATTAAGTCGTATGACATCGATAACGTTGGATAAAATTAATCTCTTTATCGTGTCTACATTAGGATTAAAAAACATTATTTACGTAGCTAGGCTTAAGTTTTGGTTGAATATATTCCTTGTTCTAATGTCGGGTTGTTGAAATCAATCAGCAGTAAATTTTTGACCATGGTTTTGTGCTAGTTGGCAGTCGTCGGAATCACTTATCTGCACTATTGAAAGAAACTGTTGCTCCTTTGTTGGATTTAAACCCTTGTGTCAACGTCTTAAAATCCGTAACCACTACTCCATTTAAGGTATAACTGAAGTCCTGCACTAAGTCAGGTTGTTTAGACTAATGGTCATACTGAAACCTGGACAGCACCAAAGACTAAACCAATATTAGATTGATTGCCACTAAGTGATCTATTTACATGATTCTTATGTATGCTGACAAAAGCGTGGTTGAAGCCCTGTACAACTGCATTCCTTTGTAATTCCTATGATCGATTTTGTATGTTTTACTAAAACTAATCTCAATTGACAATGCAATTTCACAGATCTGATACAAAATCTTTTTTGGGAAATGTTATATTCCATCCATATATAACAGCGAAAAAAAGCAAGACAGATAGTGAATGAATGCATCTTAGACTTTAGTATACTAGCCGAGTAACATTGTTTGTTTAATATAAGGTTTATATTTTTCTCACATTTATAATTCGTACGTTTTTTATTTATTGTGTATTACGGATTTAAAGAAAGCACATTCATTTTTTTATTCTGTTCCCTAAATTGTTAAACATTGCGTATCTAATTCACATAAACCATTCTATTCATAATAATTAAACGCTTATACTGTGTACTGAAAATTTAACTGTAATTATTTTCTTTATATTTATCCAAGGTCACATCAACAATCTATATAATACTTGTTTTTGGAAACTTGTTCAAAATGCTGGCCTAAGTGGAACAGAGGCTGAAGAACGCTTAAGAGTAAGGCTGTTGTTGTTTTGTTTTTTTCAATTTTTTATTGGTTGTGTAGATTAGATGAATTGATTACTTACTTATCTTATATTACATTCATATATTTTACTTCTCAAGTACAAGTTTATTATACTCAGCTTGAAGACAAATACATGGTTTGTGTAATAAAGACTAATAATATTAACCGTTTGTACAATTATGTATAGCAAGTGTTGTGCATGCGATCTGATCATTGCAAACTAAACGCTTTAATCAATAGTAGATTAACACTTAAAGTTTCATGTCTACAAATCAATGTATTAATCTTAGTAGTAGCTAATGTGTAATTGATCAAATCGGAATTAGTTTACAGATCTGATTTCTATTAGTGTCCCGTGTGTTGTAATTACGAGATAATAATTTCTTAAAATAACTAAATGCTATATTATTATTATTATTATTATTATTACAAGGATAACACAATAATTAAATGGAGTTACTGGATTCACATCCAACTGACATTTATCCAACCATTGAAAAGAAAGCAATAATAGAAAAAACAATTATTCTCTCACTTATTAAGTATTTCTTTAAAATCTAATCATGACGTAATTTTGAATCATTCAATAACGATTTACAAAATGTATCTAAAAGTGCTGAAAAAACGATAAATTGAAATTGACATCAGCAACTTGTAATGAATATAATTCTTGATACTCACTTGAGCAGATTATACTCAACTACTATTAACATTCATATGGAGTAAAATTAATTAAGTTTTCTTTTTATATAGATTGACTGTGGAATTTAGCTTCACAGGTTTCAAGATGTGTGTAATCTGTCATTACTCAATCATAGATACCTTCAAAATTGAGGTATAACGTAGAAATCGTCAAGTAAGTAGTGCTAAGGTTTGGTATAGGGTAATAGATAGCTGAGATATCGATTGCAAGTGAACTGAGATAGATACTTCACGTTAAACCACTATAAGGAGTTGTTTCTGTTGTGAATTTTTTTCATCCTATCTGCTTGTTTGTATCAGTGTATTCTTGTTGTGATTGATACATGGTTCTCTATCAAGTGGTTTGATATGTGTGATTGTGTTACATGATCAAATAGATCTGAATTACGACAGTAACAATAGTAGTTGGATTAATGAAGCTGTGAGATTACATCGTCCTATATCACTGGGATGCATATTTTGCACGCCTGACCTTTCTATACTCAGAAATAGAATTGTAACTGACATTGGAGAAAGTTTAAAGAAAACTAAGGTTAACCAAATCAAAACATTAGAATAATCAATGGACTGATTACCACTTGAATTGAGCTACGGTTGAGGGTTTATGATTGGTGCAGTTCAATTATCTTAAACAGCGATTGAGGACTTTAGATGACGTATTACCGAAATGGTCGTAATGGCATAAAACACATTCACTCTTTCTCTCTCTTTACCTTATACCTGATTTTTGATAATATATAGCACCTTTCCCTCACAAACGTTCTTTGTTCTCAAACTAGATTGTTCATGTTTGGCTTTTTTATCATTATTATTTCGACTACCTTTATTTTCTTTCTGTTGGTTTTTACTCTCTCACTGTGTGCCTTTGGTGTGAAGTTGTGAAACGATGCACAAATGTCTATCGGTTCTACTTTGTTTATCATTGACATTTTTGAATATATATATATATATATATATATATATATATATATATATATATTCGATGACTCATAGATGATAGAATATTACGAAGTCCGGTTTACATACCTACTGTTTTAAGTTGATTCACATGTTTCAGAGATAAATATATAATAATGTTTTGATAAAATCTTTGATTGAATACCTGAAGTCTCAAGTTATTCATTTTTATAGACTTTATTAGTTAGCGACCGTTGTCATTCGTGTCCTAGCTTTCATGTTAAGACTATAATTTATGAATGACCTTTAAGCAACGCTAAAGTGGCCTTGAGAAAACTCACTTTATAGGGTCTAAAGAGCATTATAAATTATTGCGAAATATTAGGTTTGGTGTCTAGAGTTAGAAGTCAGGGTTAAGGGTAAGAATGAGGGTTTTCATCTTAAACTGACTGTATCTGTAAGGCCAATATACTATTTAGCCATATAGATAAGTGAATTACACCCTAAAATCCATGATTCGCTATTTTTAATCTGATTGGTTCATCCACAAACCTTAGTCTCACCACTTTCATTTCAAAACCATTCATTGTTAGTAGTCACTTCAGCAAATTAAACATGCTATCTATTCAAATAGTTGTACACGAAATAGAAAAGGTATTAACTTCATCCAACTCAATGTTTACTAAGTATTGGTCATTGACTCTTTCATATAGAAACTTGAAAACAAAGCGAAAGTATGAGAGAATTAAACGCTTTTATGGGTAAATATAAAGTACTAAGTTAAATCTTTAAGAAAATGTCATATTTTCACTCTAAAAGACCCTAAGGAAGTTGTTTGAATTACCATTGAAGACAGTAAATTTTGAGACTCAACTATTCCTAAATTATTAAGGATTCGTATTGTTAAAATTAAAATAACATATATTAGCGAATAATATCGTTTTCAATTAGATCATCATCAGAATTTTACTCTAATATACATGAATATTTATGTGAAGATATAAAACAAATCAATGCAATTCATTATGAGTCAATGATCATAGTGAAGTAAGTAGATTGCATAACTACACATAATAAGAAAAAATTGCAAATTGATAGTAATAATAATATCACATCAATTCCATACAATAGTTCAAAATAGAAAGTAGGCCAAACTTAGATAAACAAACTTTAGAATAATACTCACAAAACACTTAAAATAACGTAATAAGTATGTAAATAATTAGGTATTGAAGAATATTAACGGAAGTGAAAAATGATAAAATATTTGTTAAGTCACATCTGACTAAGGGAAAGGACAGATCTCATACAAATTCCTTTTGAACACATAAACTAGGGTCACAGGTTCAAATCCCTATAACTTCTAGTGAATGTAAGAGACAGAACTGTACACCTTTAGGATACAATGAGGGTATACGATAGATAACTCGAAATAATTTGCTTTTATCTACCACATAATCACTGTTAACGAGGTATACTGAAATGGAACTACGTATTGTTTTCATTTGGCCCTTTCCAAACCACAGATAGATAAGCAAAAATGGATGATGGCTAGCAGTGGAATCCAGGACGCACGTTATGTCCTGTTTGGGACTCGTCATCTGGATGTACCTACCTCCCAAGAGTTGGTGTTCACTCTTGGACTCACACTCAGTACCGTTCGCTTCAAACGCCATCGCGTTATCCACTTAGCTATTGAGTCCTGATAGCTACTTGCTTGTGCATTGGGGTGAAGTTTAGATTCACTTAATATTGTTTGCTTGAACCTTCTCATTGATGTTCAGGACTGCAATTCATCAGTCTATTATTGGCATATGTGCATACTGATCAATTGCAGTCCTAAACATTAATGGGAAGATTCAAGCAAGCAACACACAGATAGATGTTCACTCGTTTGTTGCTTAATTTTCCCAGTAGCACGCCCAATCTAACTCTCTTCGGAGAACCACCTGAATTTGTAAATAGACTCAGAAGAGAGAAACTCAAGTAACTCCAAATGAGTTCACACCTGTTCATTTACAGATGAATATATATAGTTATTATTGATAATCATTTTTATTTTTATTCTTTCTGTCATCAATGTTGATGAACCCTTGTTATATCATATCTCACTGCTACACTTTACTACATATGTGGTTGTAAGCAGCTAATAAGAATCCAAGAAATATAATAAATTTATATTATCTTAATTGTTGTTCTGGCTTTATTCAATCTAACTGAATTGCTTGCTTATGTTTTTCTCTAAGATTAAAATTAGAAGTATGAACTTCAGTAAATATTTTAGATGTTTTGTTAAAATTTCTTCTAATCCTACTTATTTCGTTTCTATGGTATAACTATCAATTGCAGTTGTGAATCTCTTTATAACTCACAGTATCGAACCATCATCCATACATGAGTAGAATTAATCGAAAATGTCTTAATTATTTTACATATATTAGGCTATATATAATTTCTGTGCTTCTTAGAAATATTTATTACAGATTGAAATCATGAGTCAATTGAAGCTGAATCACCATGAAAAACCTGGAAGCACTGGACGGCCGTTTCGTCCTGGCATGGGACTCCTCAGCAGTGCTCATCCACGATCCCACACCCCGCGAGATCATCTGCTCACTAGTGATTGACTTCAAGGGATACTCCTGGAGTTCTAGTGAGAACCCAGGATCTCTCAGTCTCGCGCCAGGCGCTTAACCAACTAGACCACTGAGCCGGCATCCAATGTTGTTAATGTCTAACTTCAACCAATCCACGAAGTCGCGCCACCATACACCATTGTCTTCAGTGAGCTGATATCTCACAACAGACCTGGTTGAACTCCACTGGTAACGGCTTCTCACTAGAACTTCAGGAGTATCCCTTGAAGTCAATCACTAATGAGCAGATGATCTCGCGGGGTGCGGGATCGTGGATGAGCACTGCTGAGGAGTCCCATACTAGGACGAAACGGCCGTCCAGTGCTTCCAGGTTTTCCAAGGTGGTCTAGCTTCAATTGACTCATGATTTCAATCTATGAAATTTCTAAAATCTCCACAAACCCCTTCTGAAAATATTTATTTTTCAAAAATTATATTTTCTGTAATACAATTGAATTTCCAGCTAGTTTTTTTGCAAAATTATAGTTCACTCAAATGCAACTATGTATTTATGTTTCATCTACTTTTGAAGTGTAAAATTATTAAGAGTTTTCTTTAATGATCATAAGAAATGAAATAATATTACCCAAAACCAAATAGTAGTAGGTGCTGGAACAAATGAATGAATTATGAATAACTCATGTTTTTATCAAGTTCATTGATTAACAATGAATTTAGAACTAATGACAATGAGATTAGGCTTAGACAGAATGTTAGGAATGTATAATACAATTTGATATTGCTTACCTATTTGA